CACATCATGTTACAACACAGTAGGGCTATTGCAGACAGAAACAATACTGTACTACATAGATGTTTCCAGTCGGGCTGATTTTTGAGTGGACTTTGCTGTTCCGAAGAGCACGAACAGTAGGCTATATGAGTGGAGCGACTGAGCGGAGCACACACGCATAGAGCGGGATAATATGCAGAGCGTCACACCGCGTGAAAGTGAAACCTGAGCGGTGAACTCATTTTCGGCAGCCGGAATTTCGGTGCATCTCTTATTATTGGCGACATCAGAAATAGATATTATACAATAGATGCTTTTTTGAACATTTTAGCAATTTAAAAATCTTAAAATAAGCTTTTTTTACACGGCACCCCGGTTGGGAAACACTGAATTATAATAATTCATATTATGTATTAATTATAAAAAAATATATTATCAATATGGTTCATATTATCTATATATTATCCTTACATTTTCATGTCCTCCTTTGATGCCATAGGTCAGATTTATTCTCAAATCTTCCAAAACTCTTTTTTCATACTGGTCATCCCAAGTTACATTAAAGTTTCCATTTTCAGTCTTCTGCACTGATAAGACTGGAGTTTTCGGTTTGACTACAGAAAACAACAAACACACATGTAAACGTGTGAGATAAGATCGGATTAAATTGTTTAATTCCTTAAAATAAGCATTTTAGAACTAAAAAGCATGTAAATTCTACAAATGCCATAGAAAAGGATTAACAATAACTTGTAGACAACATTTATACTCACTGAAGTCTTCAGTCTTGAATGTTTTGCTTGATAAAACATTTGTTCCTTCCAGAAGTGTACTAGTGAAGTTTTCATTTAAAAGAAAATCTTGCACTTTAATTTTGCACTCACAGTTGTCACTGTGATTACTTCTCTCAAAGATACATGCATACATTTTTTGAAACCTGCAATTTAAGAGATATTCATGTCAACTGATTGCTAAATGAACAGCAATGCATTTAGTTATAGAGGAACTACAGGCCTGTACAAACACTTACATATCAAATACAGTATGTGTGATGTTGAGCTTGTATCCACAGCAGCTTTTGAGACGGTCAGTGGAGAGACTGCATTTCATTTCTGTCTCATAGTCATTAAAACACTTCAAGTCCTCCTCTGTAGGCTCTGCAGTGATTGGAAAATAAAAGACTGGGTGAGATCTATAGTCTTTGGTGAGGTCACTATCACAGATGACCACAACAGAAGTTGCTTTGCAAAAGTAAAAATAGTTTAACAGTAAAACACTGTGTAAAAAGTATAAAGGATCCATGTGCCAAAATGAATTTTGAGGAGAGCAAGTAACAATTCATGTCTAAATAATAATTTGTGATCATATTAATGGATTTTAAATGACTAGTGGCATCTCAATCATCAGGTTTGTCGTTTAATTTGATATATAATATTTCACAACATTTTCACCATTGGGTGCCACAAACATGAGGTTACACATAAAATAACAGTGTATTGAGTTACATTTGACACAACTGTGACATACATACATACACACGCTATGTTTTCAGAGTTTAGAGACTGTTTTAGCCCATTTGTTCTATACAAAAGTATGAAACTTACCAAAACAAAATGCCTGGCAGAAGAGTGTGAGGATGATCTGACTCAGAAGAACAGTGGAAAACATTGTGACCGAGCTGTAAAACACACACACACACACACACACACACACAATAAATATATGAATACGATTTCTTTCGAAGAAATATCTTACGCTGTCATACTCTCTGTAGGCCTGTTGACAGTTCGTTGCTCCGTTGCAAAGTATACAGTTTACAACTGAAAGATTTTCAAATTAAACATACGGTTTCACGTACAAACACATAAAATGCCCGGTTAATGCTCGGTTTAAACCCTACTCACGACAGTCTACAATAGACTTGTCTTGCTTAACCGCAATAGCATCATAGAATTTGGCCAGTGGCCACATGTCTGGACTGAACTGCAGTAACGTCAGTGTCGCAATTCTTCAGCAGAACTGACGCCTTTTTTGGTGCTTCCGCCCGCGTTTCGTTTTAGGCTATATAAGCGATAAGTGAGTTTGAAGGCACTTATGGGACATGAAACAGAAATTTTGACTTTCTTTTCTTTTCTTTTTAATGTAAAGGCCTCCTTATAGCCTAATAGGTTACATGTCTACTAGTCTGTGGGACGTGAGAGGGAAAAAACATTTTTATATCATGAATGTGTATAATTGTGATATTGTTGAAAACCAGTAGAAACGTCTGATGCCATTTCAGTTGTCATGTCGTCATAGCTACTATTGTTTTTTCAACTTACATTTACATTTAGTCATTTAGCAGACGCTTTTTATCCAAAGCGACTTAAAAATGAGGACAATAGAAGCAATCAAAACCAACAAAATAGCAATAATATGCAAGTGCTATGACAAGTCTCGGTTAGCCTAACGCAGAATTAGTAGATAGAATAGGAAATACTAGTGTTAAGAGTTTTTTTTAATAATAAATAAAAAGAAAACAAGTAGATAGAATAGAAAAAGAACAGAGAAAGCTGGTGTTAGAAGAGGCCACTTTTTTAAAAGAAAACATGCAGTTAGAAAACGAATATAGCATGCAAGTGTTAGAGGGCTTTTTTAAATAATAGTAGAATAACTTGATACACAAATGACTATATTCACAGTGATTATACTTAATTCATATTTTGATTATTAAAAATCTTCTACATACTATGTACAGTAGTATCAGTTAAGGCTGCTCTGTGCATGCTCAAAATTTTGTTGAAGGACAGACAAAAATATGCCTGGGCTGCTCTCACACCTCAGTATGAAAGTATCCAGTTGTAATTGCTGTGCAATTACATTTATACCACCTCTGAGTCGCATTAAACAGTCTGTGTACAGACAGCTAAATGAAACTTCAGAAAGCACTTCTGTTACACCTTTATTTACAGTGTGACTTTGGAAGACTTTTGCTCAGTGTTTGTGTACTTCACGTAAACGCCCTGCAGATGGCGCTGCAATCATCCAAATGACTAATCTATAAATATCGACGATATTTAATACTAAAACAGAGTCTGTTGTTATAAATAATTTATACTATATAGCATTAAATTACAATACCACTTTCTAGAGAACAAAGGTGTCCCTTGTTCAGACATACTACGTAAAGCGTCATTCATTTATTAAAAGTAAAGTCTCAACATGCACTTCAGTGTATGTGCCTTCCATAGAAAAACTATTTTGCTTCCTGGTTCGTAGCAGGCAGCATAAAACAAAAGCCCTGTGAAAACCTGTTCGAAATTCCCCCGAAGGACTCGGACTCTATTTCAACATTCTGAGGTTTTATTTTAGAAATGTAGAAACAAAGGCTGTAGCTATTTACATTGCTCTTAATTGAGAAGCGCTTTAGTTTTTGTAAGAATGCCATAGTAGTGGAACAACTAGAGATTACATACAAAAATAATGAAATGTTTCACACACATACCAATCATCTGTTTGACAACACAGTTACTGTACACAGGCTGAGACTAACTGTCTATGAACTGACCGAGATGAGAGGAGTTTTTGAAGAGTAAGCCATTGTCCTGTTGATGATAGCAAAACAAAGAAAAAAACATAGTGTCATCTACATCTAAATGCATCCTATATACAAACATCTTTTTTTTCTTTGTGTTGAAACATCCTATTGAAAAATACAAGTTCAATTTACAGACTGAGACAGCAAGTACAGACCCTGTAATGAAGCCATAGACCTGTAATAATGACATTAGCAAATGCCACATAATATAATAAAAATGTGAATGCCAAGAAAAAGAATACATGACTTCCTAGAGTATTTTATAACTATTAGAGTAAGTCGCTGTATAACCCCTTTTGTTGAAAGAGTGAATCCTCCAAAGTTTCTTATTACTGGTAATATTTTCAAAGAAATTATCATTGCAACTGTATAGAGATCAATAGTTAAAAATGTAAACATAGCCATTATTTGTTTTTACAGCATAGTTAAACAGAATAAGAAGTCTTGTTATCACGCCTTTAAAATTTGCATTTGCAAATTTGACTCAGATTCACATTTGACATTTTGTGTAACATAATAGAGTAATAAAGAAGTATGAATAACAAGAATAGTTACTGTACATGATCCCTACAGGCATTTAAAGTGACACTCCACCAAAAAAAAAAAAGAATATTCTCTCATCACTTACTAAGATAAACTTGCATTATATAGACTCACTGAGATGGATTATTCCTCTAAAAAGCTTTGTTTGCATTTCACAGAAGAAATAAAGTCATTTGGGATGGCATGATAATTTCAATGGGTGGGGTATCCTTTTAAGGCACTTTTCAACATCTTACTGTAGAAATAGCTGGCACAACCTAATTTCAAGGCATTGGCTCTGAGTCTAAACAAACAATGGACAAAGTTGGCATGGTTCTTAATACTGGTCATATTTTCAAATGAATGATTCATTGTAATTGTTGACATTACATGCAAAAATGAATTCAATGTTTCAGGCATGTACTTGTCATTTGTTTTATGAGCACAGTTAAACACACTGATATGAACTGTCTATTTGAATAACGGGTGAGAAATGCAAAGAAGTGGCCAAAGAACTTTGCTGCACAGATGTGGGATCTTGGCCGGTGCTCTGGGGGAATTTCAAAGCTCCACATGCATTAAGTGCTTGTTCAGTACTGACGCTCGTGCTCCACTGTCCTTCTGTGCTCTTTGTTAAGCCTTGAAAAGCCTGATATCCTTCATCACTTGGTGTGATGCTGCCATCAGGCAGAATAAGAGAAGGATAGAGTGGATTTGTGCTGGTGATGAGATTTTTCATGATGCACTTCTCATCAGCACCAACATCATCTGAAAGGTTCACACAAACATCTGCATCATTTCCCTTTTCCAAAACACTGCTGAAGCACTGATAGCCGTCTTCCAGAGTATCATTAGTGGGAGAGTTAAACTGGCTATCTCTTGCATCCGAGTCTGAATCTTCCCTCTTGCCGGACTGACAGTAATGATCAGAGCTCAGCTGATCCAGGAATAAAGAATCACCAGTGGCTGATTCAAAATATGACATATTGCTGAAAACCGATGAGCCAGAGCAATTGCCCGAATCTCGGTTTGCACGGTTGCGTTCTTTTGAGGAACTGGTACCAGTAACACTCTTGTATGACCTGCTCGTAGTAACCTGATTGTAGGGGGATAACGGTGATGGGTTGTTTGTGATTGGATGTAATTTAAACACCTCATCCAAGGCATGCTCGACACGTGATGCGATGTTAATGGTGCTGATGTTCTCTTCAGGGCTACCAGAGCAAGCCTGGCCATAATCCACTGGCGCTGACTCAACACTGTTGGAACATTTCTCATCGTTTGTATCTACTGATAATGCTGAGATCCTGTAGGGAGAAAAACATGTTGAGGCATTATTAATCAGAATTAGAATGACGCTAGTCTGTCACATGTTTCTGAAGTTTTTTGGAGGAAAAAGAAAGAATGAACAAACAAACAAACAAAAGAACATACAATTTCTTATCCTCATGAAGGTCGAGTGTTGGAATCTCTACATGGATTGGGGAGAACTTCATAACAGATGGAGGCAAAATATGACCCTGTTAAACATGAGAGAAAAAATAAGGGATGTATTTTGAATTTTAACATTAGTGATGGTTATGGCAGGATTTTTCTCCCACCTTCTCCTCTCCAAGATTGGCATCTATTTAGTTATAGAGGAACTACAGGCCTGTACAAACACTCACCTATTGAATACAGTATGTGTGATGTTGAGCTTGTATCCAGAGCAGCTTTTGAGACGGTCAGTGGAGAGACTGCATTTCATTTCTGTCTCATAGTCATTAAAACACTTCAAGTCCTCCTCTGTAGGCTCTGCAGTGATTTTAAAGATTTAAAATAAAAAGTGAAAATAATATCACACACGACCAAAGTAAACAGTTGTTTTGTAGTAAATAAAAGTAGTTTAGTAAACAGTGTAAAAAAGTTAGGGCATGGCAACATTTTGAGGTATGAAAGTAAAAGTAAACATTTGACAGAACTGGTGTCGTCCAATCAGCACGTTCTTGTTTAATTTGTTGTAAAACACACACATCAGCTTTTCATCAACATGTTTTAAACAAAAAAATTTACGAATAAATAAATAAACATGTTTGAGCCGATGGGGAAGTTTGTAACACTTTTCACAGTACTTCTACTGAAGCAAAGAAGAACAGTGCACAGAGCAACGTTTGACACAATTATGAGAGTGACACCAGCATATAAATATGGAGATTTTATATCTAAGTATACATAGAGGAAAAAAAACAACATTGTTAGCGAAACAAACGCTTACCGTAACAAAATGCATGGCAGATGAGTGCGAGGATGATCTGACACTTAAGAAATGTGGAAAACATCCTGCACGTCCTATATATGAAAACACAAATATTACCTAATATATCTTCAAACAATTAGGCTACACGTTACAAAGTAAATTGTTAAAAAAAAAAAAAAAGATTCCTCGCAAAATATAGCCAAAATGTTATTTTTTCATACCTTCTGACTGTATTTGACAGTCCGTTGCCTCTTCCACAAAGTAAAAATAAAAGAAACCGAGTTTACTAACCACTCAGTAGGCAAATTAAAGACGGTTAAAAAACGGTTTCAGTCACAAATACAAGTAGGTTAAATCTAACATAGGGCTATGCTTCCCTATTTGCAACATGGAAGTCGCCAAAACGGGCGTATCGAAGTTTCCTGGAACACACGCAGCAGTTCTGCAGTTCCACGGACTCCCGCTAAAACACAAGCGCCGCGCTCACCCTGATCTCCTGCTCGAACACAGCAGAATTCCACGGAAGCCCATCATCAGAGCCCACGTCAGAGATAAACAAGCAAGATAAGTCTATGTATGTGCTATGTATGAGAAAGCCAAGCTCAAAGGAAGTCATTATGCAAGGACCACAAAAGGAAGAGCAAAATGAGACTGCATTTCAGATAAACTGTTTATGCAGTTTCAGTTCCTCTGCTTATTTCAATATTAATAGCCTACCTCAATCTGAAACTGAAAATATATTAAAATGTTATATTAATTATTTGTACATTTCTCCAGCACAGACATGTGTGGTCTGTCTGTGTGTGTGAGCCGTTGCTGGAAAAAAAAGGTAACTTCCAACTTCCATTTCGGACAGAGGTTTATTTTAAAAGCAGAATGAGCCATACGCGTATGGTCTGTCTGTGTGTGTGAGCCGTTGCTGGAAAAAAAAGGTAACTTCCAACTTCCATTTCGCTCGGGTTCCGCTTTGGTGACCCCTTGTATGGGATGATTTTAGACTCAAAATGATTAATAGATGCACGCACAATTATGAGTGGCTTTATTTATTGCTATACCAAAAGATACAAGTCATGACATATAAAGTCGCACGACGAGTTCTCAGTATAGCTACAGCATGGCCTCCTGGCAATATCCCAGCAAATTCAAAACGTTTTAAAAACATAGTTGTGTTTGCTGGGGATGCCTTTACATATGGGTTTTGATATAGGCCTACTCAGGGCCAGTGCGAGCTCAACTGCTGCTCTAGGCAAAACCCTATGGTGCCGCCCCCACTTCACATTCACAATTAAACACGATCTTTAAGATGCATGTGAAATACTGGAGATTTTGTTTATTGGTACAACTGCATTAAAATAAAGCAGACACGGGTGTGTTTTCTGATTATTATATATTTTTTCCTACTGCAACGTAAACATTTTTTAAAATAAAAAATAACCACTAGTATAGCTGCAAAAGCAAATTAAGTGTAGGCTATGTACAGGCCTGAAGTGGCCATGGGAAGATTTGGGAGAATTCCCGGTAAGCAGCTCGACAAACGTTGTTCAGGACACGGAAAGTACAAGTCTCTGTAATTTGAACAAGCTGGGTCAGGGTCCGGCACCTCCGGATTCCGATAACCTCATTTGGCGGATCCCCCTCCTCACGCACCATTGAAAGATGTTCGTGTCAGGGTTATTATAGTTTTGCATTTTTAAATTAGTTTTTATTTTAATATCGCTTTCAGTTTTCTTTTATTGGTTTCATTAATCATTTTGTTAATTTTAGTTTAGTTTTTATTTTGTGAACTGATTTATAGCCTATTTAGTTTTTATACAGTTTAGTTTCAGTTTTAATTTTAGTTTTAGTAATTAAAGTTTAGCAGAATTAACAGAACACTTCCAGAGCGCAGACCAAACACATTTTAATTTAAGCTTATTGACGCAAACCTCTAGCGACACAAAATTAAAGCATGCTGAGATTGATTAGAAAACGATGATTTATTTTTGATTATTATTTTTAGTTAGGTGTTCAATAACTGCTTTTGGTTTTGTTTTGTTTTAGTTTTTCATTTATTTTTACATTTTTTAAATCTTTCTTTCTCTAAATGCCTTTTAGTTAAACACAGTTCTTAATACAACATATTTTACAGTTTAAACATGTATACAACATTTCTTACATTTAAACTCACAAACCTATATTTGACCAAAGAAATGCAAGTCGGCGGCACTGAGAACTACTGTCACCTGAAGAGAATGCAAAATATCTGCGCTCATTACAAACACTGGGTTGTTGCGACTCTCATGTCCCAGGAGCTGAGTTACACAAAAATTACCCAAACATAAAAAAATGTTGCAATAAAATAACCATGATTTTTAGAGTACAGTGGGTACGGAAAGTATTCAGACCCCCTTAAATTTTTCACTCTTTGTTATATTGCAGCCATTTGCTAAAATCATTTAAGTTAATTTTTTTTCCTCATTAAAGTACACACAGCACCCCATATTGACAGAAAAACACAGAATTGTTGACATTTTTGCAAATTTATTAAAAAAGAAAAACTGAAAAATGCTCAGTATTTAGTAGAAGCACCCATTTGATCTAATACAGCCATGAGTCTTTTTGGGAAAGATAATTTAAGGGGGTCTGAATACTTTCCGTACCCACTGTATATGTGCATACTATTAAAGCAACTGATGCAAGCTGATAATCACTTAAGTGGGTCCACTAAATGATTGCGTGAATGCTCCATTACCTCTCCATCCTCAACCCGCTTTATTCCGCTTTAAGTCCGTTGTCTATAATTTTGCTTACTCTAGTGATTATTGTGGTGTTTTTATCAGCTGTTTGGACTCTCATTCTGGTGGGGCCCATTCACTGAAGAGGATCCATTGGTGAGCAAGTGATGTCATGCTAAATTGCTCCAAATCTGGTCCAATGAAGAAACAAACTCATCTACATCTGGGATGACTTGAGGGTGAGTACATTTTCAGCAAATTTTCATTTTTGGGTGAACTACCCCTTTCATGATGGCAATTACATTTTATGAAATTTGTGCTTTCCCTTCTGTTTGTTTCTGCTTTAGATTATAGGCCTACTGTGCCTTAATACTGTGCTATAATTACTGGTCTAGTCGGCTATGCATAGGTGTTTGTAGATTTTTTCATTGTGTATGTGTCATCCCTGGTTAGGCAGGGCTGCCAACTTTTGAGTTCAACTTGGAGTGAGAAATTCCACAGCGGTTTGGGTTTATATATATATATACAATAAAATATATAAAACACCTGCCATGAGTTTTGTCTGACATCTGGACATTATGTCATACTTTGTTTTTATCATAAAATCATGTAATAAATGATTGTTGCAGTGCTGCAAAACTTTTCACTTTTTACCACAACAAGAATTGCAATGTACAGTGAAAGAATTGCAAGATTTACTAGTCATTAGCTACTTTTATAATTGCAACCGCATTTTAAAAATATTTTTCTGACATTTTTATTAATCTTTTAGTCTGCATTTCTTGAACATCTGTTTTGAGAAATTATATTTTTCTCCCATTCGAAAATGTCACTCCCGAAACTGTGCTGTAATTTATAGGGTATATGGTTGTTAGCAGCACAAAAAACAAAACTTTTATTCAAATTCTGTACAGATTATATTAAGTGCGCAAATAGCCCTTACTTTACAAACACTAAAGGGTGTCACTTAGGCTACTTCAGTTCATCGCGATCTCACAAAGTTCCTTTATAATCAAGGAACCTCTTATTTACACCTTGTTATAGAGAGAGGATTCGCAAGCGTGCAGAAAAAATCCTGCGTTTAGAGGTGAGTGAACGCAATGACCAATCACAGGTGTTCAAGAAATCAACAGGTATGTCTGTGATTGGCTACATTGCGCAGCACTACGAAAACACTTTGTAAATTAAATCTTTTGGTGATTTCAGAGCGCAAACACAAATACGCACTGGAGCCTTTACCAAATCTGTTTCGCAAATATCCTATTATTACAGTTTTAACTGAAGTTGCTTTTGACTGCGTGAGAAAATGGATGTGTGGCGTGAGAGCGTGAGAAAAGTGTCAATTGCGTGAGTCTCACGCTGAATGCGTGAGAGTCGGCAGCCCTGCGTTTAGGTATGTTTTGAAGCATGGCAGGGCCGCTGGTTTGAGCTGATTTAAACTGGTCCTGAGCAGGAGTGTGCACAGATGGCACTTTTATACGTTATATATGTTATAGCTTATGTTGTAGTTTAATTTAACAAACATGTCCTTCAGTTGTCACACATACAAATTTTGTCAAATAAGGTTCTTTACACAAAAAAGATAAAGTATTTTATATTTCAGGAAGAAGTAATTGTACATTTATTTATCTTCCCAGCTAACAATTTTTGGTTCCCAGAACGTTAGTTTTTGGTTCTCAGAACGTTCTCAAGAATGTTCCCTTTTGGTTAGCCAGGAAAGTTTTCTTAACGTAAATAGAACGTTCCGTTTAGGTTAGGGGAACGTTCCCGGAATGTTGCGGGAATGTTCCCAGAACATTCTCTGTAGGTTCCTGGAACGTTCCCCTAACCTAAAGGGAACGTTCTATTTACTTTCCTAGAAGGTTCCCAGAAAGCTCTCTGAAGGTTCCCAGAACGTTTTCCTAACCTCTTTAATCCGATACCGCTGCTGTACGTCAGTAATCATCCAGCACCCCCATGTCTCGTAGAGTAAGCGGCATGGAAGACGGACGGATATGGACCTCAATAATCAGTACTACAAACCATGTCTTGTTTTAAACTATTGTTTAATCATTAAAGATAATCAAAGCACATTTAACCATCATAAGGAGCATTAAATGAGATTGAATTATCCGTTAATATGTAAGATTTCTTTATTATAACTACCATGTACTATAAACCGACCATAACCCAGATATTACGTATCTTAAGCACCAAATAACAATGACTTCAACAAAATATTGGGTTTTAAAAATGTGAATTTTATTTTTACAGATATTAAAATGAATAATATTTATTTGACTTTAACTAGGATAACATTACATTCATTTCTTACCACTGAATTAACGATGATGTGCTTCTCTCTCTTTTGGTCCATAAACAAAAGCTGGAAGCGTGTGCAGATCATGGGCGCGCAGTAAAGAAACATACAAACAAACCCAGTGTTTATGATATGCTTTTCAGACTACACTTAGCTTAATTTCAGCTATTAAATTGTAATTATATTATCATTATAATGTGATTTGACTACTTTGATGTCTACACTTTATTAAAAGCTTATTTCAGACATGAAATTCTGCAAAAATAGTTTGTTTATGATTAAAAAAATACACATTTCAGCATTAGAATAATCATAAACATCTGCAAAGTTTTAATTAGTTACATATGACAACTAAAAATAACATGCAGGGAACGTTCTCTCTAGGTTATAAAATAAAATCTAAAAATAACATGCACGGAATGTTCCGGGAACGTTCTCTCTAGGTTATAAAATAAAATCTAAAAATAACATGCACGGAATGTTCCGGGAACGTTCTCTCTAGGTTATAAAATAAAATCTAAAAATAACATGCACGGAATGTTCCGGGAACGTTCTCTCTAGGTTATAAAATAAAATCTAAAAATAACATGCACGGAACGTTCCGGGAACATTCTCTCTAGGTTATAAAATAAAATCTAAAAATAACCTGCAGGGAACGTTCCGGGAACGTTCTCTCTAGGTTATAAAATGTAGATTTTGTAAATTATGCTCACCTGAATATAAGACATTTTTCACTTCCAGCCTTAATGAATAATTATATATAAATTATAAATGATTAAATACAAGATTAATAGTAGTAGCACTTTTGCGCGCTCAAAATATGATCTTTCACGTGCAGAACTGTGGCAGAGATGTAATCCCATACGATATAAACCTAAAAGCTGGTATGCAACTCGCCATTAAACCATAGACTGTATAAAAACATGGACGTAGTGTCCGTGACATCACCCGTAGGTTTCCGAAGAGGGTTTTTGAAGCTCAAAGTAGGCGGAGGCGGCCGTCGCCATCTTGGCAGCGCGTCACGTCACTCCCGGATAATCAAAAACGGGCAAAGAGGCGGGAGCTGGTTGCTGAAACCACGCCCACCTAGCTCGACGTGGTTACAGAAGCTGCAATCCACCTGTCTCTTAAGTGGCCACGCCCTTAATTATGCAGAACTTTAAGGCTTAATATAATTTAAACGGATGAGTTATAAAAAAATTCACCCCCCTCACAGTTGTCATGAAGGGCAAAATTAGCTATATAGACCAAAATAAGTTTTTGAACCAGGCTGTAAACATGTTTTTTTCTGCTGTAAAGTTGGGCATTTTAACATGGGGAGTCTATGGGATTGACTACCTTTTGCAGCCAGCCTCTAGCGGCCAGTCGATGAATTACAGTTTAAGTCACTTCCTTGTTGGCTTCACGAGAGAGAGAGAGCGGGAGGTTGCCTTGCATTAAACCCACAGAAGAAGAAGAAGAAGAAAATAATGGATCAGACCACGTGACCAGAAGTAATGTTTCTAATCTAGTGGGAACGCGCGAATGTTGAACGAAGTGGTGCCTGTACTTTAACGCAGGTATGTGAGAAACATCACTTTACAACAATATGTGTTTAATACAAATCTTTTTCGGCCAGACTTCGATGTTAGTCTTTGAATGCTCGGTCAAACGCACTCTTAATTTGATGTAGCATGTCGTATTGAGGATGTTGTGCAATTTAGTTTGTGGCTTGAGGTATTTTTGTACATTGGTCCGGTAATACAACCACACGTTTGCATGTACACTGAAAACATTGAGTATGATTTACTTGAAAGAAGCTAGGAAACAGTTTTCGCCTGAAATAGCTAGTAAAGTTCACAAATAATAAATAAAGTTCACAGCAAAGTGACACATTGAATTAAACGTGAAACTTTTAAGTAGAAAGACCAAAATAGTATTTTCTTGTAAAACGTAATCCCATAATCTGTTTTTGTACAATTTAGAATTTTTGTTTTAAAATGTGTATTACCACAATCCCTTATCCTGGCCCAAAAGGCTGTAGTTCTTTATAGACGAACATCGACCAATGTAAACATCTGGTTAAAGCTACAAGCAGGGTCAAGAGAACCATCTCATCTGAGTCAACCAGGTTTTTAACGGGGTCATATGATGCGATTTCAATTTTTCCTTTCTCTTTGGAGTGTTACAAGCTCTTGGTGCTACCTGTGTCCCATTCTGGTGGGAACATCATCCTTTGATAAACACCTATTGGTGGAGGATAGCACTTGATACTATTATAATTATTGTTTAAATTGAACTTGTTAATTATTGTCTTGGTAATACATAAGGGTTCTCCTACAGTCATTTTCAATCATTTCACCATTTGCTTTCTCAGTATTGGCAAATGTGAGGAATTTGATCAAGAAATGTCTTCTCCAGCAAGAGGACATTAAGCAGAATGTCCCGAACAATAGGAGACAGTCACAAGCGCTTCTTGCAGACTATAATGAGCAACGGCATCATCAGTGCATCTCAGGCCGTAGCATTACACAAACACTGCTGTGAGACCCATGGAGGTATGAAGAAAACCCAATTTAGCTAAATTCTGTTGGATCATGTGTTTATGTCGTATTTATTTTGCACTAAAGGCAAAATGTGAAAAACTGAAGCAGAACTATTCTTTCTTCTTTCTTTAGATTTATTACTTCTATGTCTCAGACCTGGAAATTGTATATGAGTTGTATATAGGCGTCCTATTTGAATTATGCATCTATCTTGGCTTTCTAGCACACATACAGACAGATTGGATGATTTCATTAATGTCATCAATGCTCAACTTCAGCCATTTTTCACATCAGGAAAGGCATGTCTGAAGAGGATGGTCTTGAGTATTACTCCTTGGTTAGTTAAAGTCTGTTTTTATATATTATTAATTTGTTAATCGTAATATTAGTATTCTATTACATTTACGTGCTTGGTATGATATTTTTTTAAGTCAAAAAAGAAATGACAACTACATCTGTTATTCAGGTAAATGTGACGGAGACGGACATAACAAGAATGGCATCTGATTATGCAGATAAGGAACTGGAATTATTCAGAAAAACGGTAAATGTTTATTCACAGCAAATAATATATCAACATTGCCCTGCAGGTAAATACATGAACACGAGTAAAGGTTGAGAAGTTTTATTTATTGAGGAAATCCAGGCTTTAGACCTCTATCATTTAATTTGAACAGCAAGAAGTAATTTTAAAGGAAAACTCTGTGACCAAAAAGTCATCAGTACTTGAGTAGTTGATTTTTTTTTTGGCACATATGTTACATGAAATTTTATTTCTATAGAATAGAATTTATGATAGGGGTTACCTGATAGCATTTTCAAACAGAGGAAACTGCAAACAAGAACTTTTATTTTACATTTAGTGCCAGATGTGTGAAACCCCAGCCTGTGGAATCAAGATGCACCTCCCGTGTGTTTCTAGATATTTTAGAGCACGCAGTGACCCTCGTTGCCCAGCATGCAATGATTTCTGGCCTCACGAGATTCCAGGTGAACGGTTTTTCTTTAACATCGCTCCACTGATTTAAGATTTAATATGAACTGTTTGTGTACTTCAAAAGGTTTTAGATTCCAATGTTTTCATATTTCTTTTTCTCATTTGCAGAAATGCAGCATTCCCAGTCGCAGAGTTCACAAAATCTGCCTTCATCATCCAAAGAGAACCCTGCTCCCACACCGTCACGAAGGTCATAATCTCAAAGCCTGCTGATTCATCGATGCAGCTGGCCTTTTGACCATCAATGAGGATTTTTCAAGTGCATTCTCTTAGAAGTTTAAAAGTTGTTTTTTTTTTACATTTATTTTCTATGATAAAGAATTGTTATTGAATAGGTTGTTTCTCAATTACACATTTTTGTTGGAATTCTGATTCAAGAACAAACAATTTATTTGCTCTTGTATGGAAACATTTGCTGTCTCTGTAGAATTTCAGCATTTTGTACAGTTGCTAAGATAAAAATACAAAATAAAAATTGAGAAGTGCACCGTTCAAATGTCTTTTCAATGGAAAATCTTAAAAAAAAGATTCAAGTTATTAGCAAAGTTCAAAGTGTTGCATCTGAATGTGGGTCAGATTATACAGAAATACATGTAGTTTAATATATAGCTTGGATACATTGCTGCTTTGGATAAAATATCTGAACAGATTTTTTTTTTAAAGTAATGCTTTTTGGCATATTTACATTGTAAAGATTTACATTTATTAATTTAGCAGATGCATTTAATCAAAGTGACTTACAAATGATGACAGTAGAAGCAATCAAACCAACAAAAGAGCAACATTATGTAAGTGCTGTGACAAGTCCCGGTTAGTCTAATGCAGTACATGTAGCAATTTTCTTAAATTAATGTAATAATTTAAAAATTAATTGATTTAAATATAAGAAATAGGGTAAGATGGGGGATGATGTTCCCCTTTAAGAACAATGTGCATTTACATTTAAATTGTAACAAAAGCAAATATGTCAGAAACGTACATCTAAATCATGGGAATACTGAATAACTGCATCATTTACAGTAATACATGTATATACGTGTATAACATAGGGCCTAAAACTCTAAAATTTGGCATTTGTACAAATAAAGACAATACAAGACTTGACAACACAAGATGTTTTATTCTGTACAAATCAGGACCACCAAAAACTGACAGAAAAGCTGAGCTCTAGAGAGCGCACATAATGCCAGTGCTGTTGAGGTATGAAGAGGACATCTCTAGGCCGGAGAACACACTCCTGATATGAGGCTTTAGAGAAGTCTGGGAACGTCACCAGGTCTGGATTCTCCACCTCCACCTGGTGATGGTAAAACAATCACGTGTTTTTTGTTAAGATATAAAACAACTTGAATTATTTTTGATTATTTCAAAGCGCTTTAAGAGCAAGAAACTTGCTGTCATAAATGAGGTCTTCTACCTGACTGGTGTTGTGCAGTAGCTGCGACTGATGTGGATAGAGATATTTTGTTTCATCTGGGCTGTAGAGTCTGATGTATTTCCTTCCAACCACCTGACATCCAAAAACATCGTGTTTTTTGTTAAGATATAAAACAACTTGAATTATTTTTGATTATTTCAAAGCGCTTTAAGAGAAAAAACTTGCTGTCATAAATGAGGTCTTCTACCTGACTGGTGTTGTGCAGTAGCTGCGACTGATGTGGATAGAGATATTTTGTTTCATCTGGGCTGTAGAGTCTGATGTATTTCCTTCCAACCACCTGACGTCCAAAAACAATACCAGAATGACATGAACAGCGGGAACAAAAGCCTTGCCTTTCAAATGCCAAATGAACCATTTGTCTCTTGTTTACCTGTGCCAACAAATTCTGTTGAGGATCCTGATGGAGAGGAGAGACAGTCCCTCCAGGCCCAAACCAGGCATTAATTGTAATGTCATCCTCATCTCCCTCTCCAAGACAACAATAGTCTGGGATACGAATATCTTCTTTCAGCTCTGGAACCTATCGGGATGAATAACAGCCAGAGTGACTGCTATTGGTTTTGCATGATGCTACATCCATTAGTATAATCCCAAATCTAAGAAGACTGCTATAGCGCAAACGAAAAATGACTGAGTGCACTTTTAACAGTATAGTGAGAAAATTAAAGAAATAGTGCAGCCATAAATGAAAACTTGCTGAAGGCTGATTTGTTTGTTCCTTCATTTGGAACAGATTTGTGGACATTTTAGCCTTTCATCACTTGCTCACCAGTGGATCCTCTGCAGTGAATGGGTGCCATCAGAATGAGAGTTTAAACAGCTGATAAAAACATCACAATAATCCACATGTAGGTAATCCAAAGGTTTGTCTTTGTAACAAATTAATTTTTAACTTAAAGCTGACGCTAAAATGGATCAATCCATAATACTTATCAATTGATAATATTGATTTCTTCAGTGAAAAGTTGACTTGTCTGAATCAGGTGTGAAATATGCACACACCAAGCACTGTTTACAAGTGAAAAACAGTCCAAAACAGTGCTAAAAATATACGTCAAAGGTTTTTGACATGAAAAGACAACAGGGGATGGATTATTTCACTAGTGGAAGTGTTATTATTAAACCAAAAGCAATGGTTACAAAGTTAAAAACGTCTTAATGATGGATTTGTTTCTTATAAACATGCAGCTTTTGACGTCATTGATGGACTTGGGAGTGTTGTGGATTACTGTGATGTTTTTAGCAGCTGTTTGGACTCTCATTCTGACGGCACCCATTCACTGCTGAGGATCCATTGGTGAACAAGTGATGTAATGCTATATTTCTCTAAATCTGTTCCAATGAAGAAACAAATTCATCTATATCTTGGATGGCCTGAGGGCGAGTAAATTTTCAGCACATTTTAAATATTGGGGGGAACTATTCCTTTAAAGGTAACGTATGTAGATTCTGGTCCTTTAGTTGCACAAAAAAGAAATGAACCTGACCTGATCAAACAACTGATGCTGAGCCAGATATCCAACTCCATCCTCCGCCTATAAGAAAACAACCAAAAATAACAAATATAGACAGTTCACAGCTTCTCTGGGCAAAAATAAAAAATAAACAAAAACACCGAAATGAAACTCAAATGATTCTTACTGTTCCTATAATGTAGCGGTCTATGAAGTCATTCACTGTGATGAGTTTTTGTGACCACTCTTCATCAGTGTACTTGGATCCCACTTCAATAGGTACTGTCCGGCAGCCAGCGATAGTTCGCAAGTAGTCTATGCTTAGAGAGAGTGTACAGTATGGCAGTGTACAGATGTTTCAGAAGATAAAATCTAATAATGCATATTTTTCAGTACCTCCATGGATGCTCTGTGAAGGCCGGCCAGTGGTCAGTTATTCCTTCTATAATCACAGGCTTCTGAGGATTCAGGAAATCTGATCTGAAGCGCTCCAGGGATGGACAATGAATCCTAGGCACTGCTTGTGCAGGGTTTATCACAGGCTCGGACACACCGTCCACTTTCATTTTCTGTTTTAGAAAAGCTTTATAAGTGAATAATGCACCGAGTAGGCTATTAGAACAAGGTTTTAAAGAGCATGACATGATTTAGTAAATTAGGACATGTTCCTGAATCAACAATTGATATTAAATAATCACAGGCCAAACCTAATCAATCAATCAATCAATCTCACTGATCCCAACAAACACAAAAATTAAGTTTTATAATTTTAAATAATATTGTTTAAATCATATA